TCGGTGTCTGTCCACGGCGCCCCGCTACGTCGTGTTGTACTTGTAAGAATTGTTCTAGACATGCCGAAAATTTGACGCTACAGCACAGCAGCTCTTCTTCTTTGTTTTCCCTGATGCACTAACTCTGCAGCAGCACTTCTTCTTTGTCGTCTCGTCTGATGCACTCACTCAACCAAGCGTTCTAACCACAACCTCGCCCCTCCCCACCCCCCAACCATTCGAATTTCTGTAGGCGGGAATTATTTGTAATGATATTCCAATGAGCCGCTTTGTGATATCACAAAGCCCGGAAAACAAACGATGTAATCCAAACGAGCCGTTTGTTGTAGTTCTTGAAAATGGATTTTGATAAAACGAAATATCTCCCTTTGGAGTGGACTTTGAGATTTGTAACTTTTTTATGCCCAAACATACACACTACACACTGACTAAAATTTTAAAAAGTGAAAAAGCATAATAGGACCCCTTTAAACCGCATAAACACATTTCATTACACCAAATACACAAAATAATGTTCTTTTTAGCAGCATCATATGACCCCTTTAAGCAGCACAACTGTTTTCAACATTGATAAGAAATATTTCTTGAGCACCAAATCAGCATATTAGAATTATTTCTGAAGGATCAAGTGACACTGAAGACTAAACATTCAGATTTGTGAATTAATATATTACATTTAAAAATATATTAAAATAGAAAAATAGTTATTTTAAATTGTAATTTTCACAGTATTGCTGTTTTTACTGTTTTTGATCAAATGAATGCAGCCTTGGTGATCATAAGAGACTTTAAAACTTTAAAACAGTTTCTGGTCCAAAGTACATATACAAAATAACAGTATTTTGCTAACATACTTTTATTATTTTAAAGCAGCACTATGTAACTTTTGGCGCTCTAGCGGTTAATAAACAGAACTGCACACATCCCGCGGAAGAACATTCCAACCGGAGCTACTTCTCTAAGTTTATGTCTATGGCGATTCACGCAGGTATGTGTTACTCCGCAGCGGTGACGACCCGACCAGGCTACAATAGTCCAAATATAAGTACTTATTATAAGTGTATCGTAGTGATTCGGAATAAGACAAAAACGCAGTTTGGAAGATGAATTCATGATGTACTCGCTCATTATATACATTTTACACATTTTGAACACAGAAAAAGTTACATAGTGCTGCTTTAAAGAATGTTTTCATAGTTTAATATGGTAACATTTTAGCGGTTCAGTAAGTGACTGATTCAGTGAGTTTATTCAAACATACATTTTTGAGTTTAAGAGGGTTTCCGAGTAATTCATTACAAAAAGACTACTAAGAGTCATTAGTTTGTGAATCAGACTAAATTAGTAGTTAGCCAGCAAAGACAAAGCAACAGAAAGACATACCATCGACACATTATTTTGCAGTACACAGCATTTTTATCTAATCACATTCAATTTAGATCACAAGCTCACATCTTGGGTAAAATACAACTTCTTTTCGCATTGTGCTACAGATTCAGCAGGGGTGGAATGATGAATAATGTGCAGAAAACACTAAGGTATCAAACCCCTCATCCAAATTTTATAATATAAAGATAAATAATACAGCATGTGATGATTCATTACTCACCTGCCACAGAATTTGGACGTGGCATAACCAAAGAAGTGCTGTGGTACGTGATTGGTCCATCCACAGGTGATGTCACAACGGGTGTTGCCCCTCCTGTGGTGCCTGTCCTCAGCTGGGCTTCACCAGACACCACCGGCTCCTCTGGGGTGATGGGAGTGCAGGGCGGATGAGTGCTACGCCCGCTCTCGCCCCTTACACCTGCACCGCCATCTTTCGCCCACTCCAGACTAGAGCCACAGCGCTCTTCATTCTCGCTGGAACTGGTGACTGTTGCTGCAGGATGAAGAGAAAGAGAGAGAGAGATGAAGGTGAATGAGGTATGGGGGGAGGGGCCAGATATTAATGGGAAGGACACAAGAGGAGAGAACGACACAGAAGGTCAAAACCAGAACATCACGGAAAAGAAAACAGGAATTAGCCATCAAAAGCGGTTTTGGAGAGATGGTCAACAAACAATGATCTTGGAGTGCAAGGACATCAGACAGGACTTATTCAGGTAATTGCTGTCAGACGTTTTGCTTTAATGCAGCTGTCTTTGACCTTTCTTTGCCGCAACCAAATTGAAAAACACTATTTTGGGCTTTAAAAAACCCTACTGATGTCCTACTTCAAGAAACCTCCGGCAGACCTGAAATAAAGACACAACGCTGTCCCAGTTTTGATAGAGCGTATCTCAGACTCATGAGCATTAACAGCACAGGCCAACAAAAACACTTCAAGAAAGTTAAACAATAAACAGCTTTGATAAGTCAGTCTCAGGAAGTCTAGTGCTCGCTTCCTGTCTTCCTCACGGTCCTGGCGCTGATTTTTGGTGGTGCGGAAAAGTTAGTCGTGCATAAACATACACACCTCTGTCAGCATCTCCAAATGGGCTGTAACATGTTAGAGATGTTGAAAACTCATAAACAGCTCTGGGAGACATAGAAGAAGAGAAGAAGGAGAATGGGGGAGAGAAACTGACCCCTTATAAAAGAAGTAAAGAACTGACATTTACAATAAATAGAATGAACTCCTCAAGTACTCTACGCACTAAACTATGAAATCTGAATATAGACCAATCACAATTCAGCAGCTTTCTTTTTTTTTTTTTGTTATCTTAGTGTTGTTTATGAAGAAAGCCATATATATCTGGGAAGGCATGAGGGTGAGCAAACGATGGAAGAATTTTCATTTTTGGGTGAAATATCTCTTTAATCACCAGGTTCAGAGCAGGCATTGAAGATTGAAGAGGAGCTACTGCTGTCTTTGCACTCAAAAAGCCTGAAAATACTCTAAATAAAATGTTTGTAGCTCATAAACCTTTTGAATAAATCATAAGGCATGATTAACGAGCTGTTTGCAAAAAATATTCCACAAACAAGCACACTTTTGCATCATATACCTTTTTGTAAAAAAAAAATCAGTTCTGTCAAAAGATGAAAAATAAAACACTTTATGGACTTTATCTTCCTTTATATACCAGCATTTTTCCTGCTGAACTTCGATGATTAAATTCTACCAAACAAAAAACACAGATGACTTGAATTTAGTTAAATGTCATTTCTGTTCAGAAACAAAAATGAAAAATGAAAAAGTATTGAACATTTTCTCTTGTGCTTCTGACAGCTGGATGGTAGATCAGCTTTTAATTCAGCCCGACAGATATGCTTTCACGCTTGGCTTGAATAGGCCATTCATCAGTGAGTTGTTTCTCTTTTTGTTTTGTGTTCAATGTGAAAGAGACTTAACTCTGAAATTATCGACAAAACAAAGTTTGTACGGAGCCTATATGCTGTAAGCAGTCGTTGGAAAAATGGTAGCAAACGATGTTGGACTTTGAGATAAAGGAGGACTTTGATAAGTAGGGTGGTAGATGTTACCTATGATCCCGCTGTCCTTGCTCTCCAGGGTGGAGCTGGGTGTGGTGATTATGGTGGAAGTGGCAGTGGAGCAGGTGCTGGAGCAGATGACAGGAGCCCTGCTGTTGGAGGAGGTCTCAGGTAAGGTGGAACAGGGGCTCTCGGCGCTGGGAGATGCCGTACTGCTGGTCAGAGTGGAGCAGGGACTCACGCCTTGACTGGACACTTCCGCATTTTACCAGTGTTTATACTGGCAATACTTTGTGAATCGGCAAATCTGGTAAAATAAGCCAACAAGTAAAGATAAAGAGAAAAAAAGAAAGAAAAACTGTTGAATTAAAGGTTTAAGGTTTTGAGACCTAAATGTTTCTTAATCCTGGTCTTATTGTAAAGAGATGTATCTGTGTTGACAACGTTCCACAGTCGAATCAAGTCAAGATGGAAAAAATGAAACATTTTGATGAACATTTCATGTTCTTCCCATTTCACACAAATACATAATTACGGAAATAAATATTGGTTGTGAAGAGTTTCAGGTTGACTTGGTGGTTCAGTGGTTCTCAACCTTCTTTGACTCAAAGGCCCCATTCCTTTTAGAGCCAATATAAGCCAAATATATATATTTCTTAGTATATTAGTATAGTATAGTATTTCTGCTGTAATTCTGCTTAGTATAGTATTTCTGCTGTAATTATGACAGATCTACTATTTATATATTAAATTAATTAACCATGATTAAGTTTGTGACTCCAGAAGTTTCAAAAACTGTATGTTCTTCAATAAAAACTTATTACATCTTTATATTTTTGTGTTTTTGTTTTAGTATTTTAATTCAGGTCTGATTAATTATTTTAATATATTAATAGTAATCCATTAACTTAAAATTTAAGTCATCCAGTGGCTCTTGGATGTTTGCTGAGGGTTGGGCCCCTGGTTGAGAACCAATGCTTTAAAAAGGACCAGAAGAGCTGAATGCAGATTAGCCCAAAGGACTAGCACAATGAATGCTGGTGTGTGAGAAATTATGGGTAACCTAGGGCCCTATGATTTTCGAGATGCAGAAAACGCAGACGGAATCGCGGAATCCAGTCATAAAAATGGAATTTAATGTATAACGCGGAATGTCACAGAATTTGCCAAATTGTGGTTGAATGAATCAAAACTAGGTCAGTACACTCAAATAAAAACACGATATGGACTAGTGTCTGTTAATATTAAGCCACAAAAATACTATTTAAAAATTAATCTTGCATGTTCTGCGTGTCTCTGTGTGAATGAAATGTGAAATGTAGTTTCATTTACTACACACATACTGAAGCGCACATGACGCTCACTGTTTTCAGCCTCTGCCGACGAGTACATGAACACATGAACATAATCTCTAGAACTGCTCTGAGAGTCACTTCATGAGCATTTTACCGTTTCTTTCGAGAAAAAAAGAGACAGGAGGAAAAGCAAACAGGGAGCGAGGAGATAAAGTGATAGATGGAAACTGTTAAACTCAGCTCTAATGTCCATACAAGGGCAAGGCCAAAAATACTCCAAGCCCTCCAGCCTGCTTTTGTTCCAATATAAGCAACCAATAAGATGCTTTTAAAAACAGATTCAGCCCTGTAACGGCGACAGTAACCAACACACAGACAAATGTACATCCGCATTTTACCAGTGTTTATACTGGGGTCATCACAGCAACCCGCCAAAATAAAAGTTAATTTTAACTTGAATAAACTGTGACAGAAATATATTACGTAATGTAATGATAGTACTACTACTACTACTAAAATTATTATTAAAACATTATTTTTAAGGAATATTTACCAGTAAAATTATTTACCAGAAAAATGCAAATACACAACACTATATTTCTGAAATAAATAAATAAACAAAATAATAATAAATTTTATTTTTTTATAAAATCAGTTAATTAGAGATGCTTTTGATTATTAAAATGTAATGAAACCATTAAAATGGAATCCAGAAAATTTATGGAAAACACAGAATTTGGTAATAAATTGCTGTTAAATTGTGTTAGTTTCATGATTTCAATTAATTAGACATGCTTTTTGATTAATATTTTTAATTTAACCATAAAAACAGAGTCAGAGAAAACAGAGATTTTTACAGAGAAAATTAAAATGGAAAAAAATGAATTTGGAAAACAAATACAACGGAATTAGGGAAAAAATAAAACGGATTTCATAGGGCCCTAGCTAACCTACCTGCTGCATATCTGAAGGAAGTGCTTACAGAGCATAAACCAACAGAATGAACATTTCTGCTTGACTCTTGTTTTAATACTGTACGGAGTATATCAAACCCTAGATACTACTCTGTCCTCTCCTCTTACCTCTCTCCGCACTCTATATAGGTCAGGGAGAGTGATGGTGTGCGTGTGTGTGTGTGTATGTGTGAGGGGAATCAGTGTACCGGAGCCCCGGTCCCCAGAGAACTGTTGCCTGCCAGCCGCTCACCAATGAAAGATACTTATCTCTCCACACACACACACAAACACACATCAGAGTAAAGCAGAGCTCAAGCTTTCAGGTAGAGCTTCATGCACCTGTTCAATAATTTCTTCAGTGCTGCAATAGCGTTAGATGAGCGTGCGTAAGAGAGACACTGTTGCTCCACCTGCATCATTCATTTTCCCACGGAGAAACTGCATTACTCACCGGCAGCAACATCTCCAGGGTGCTTCTCCACATCCAGAAAGTTTCTACCCTTATAAAGCAGCTATGCACGTACAAAGCAGCAAACACGCAGAAACCAGCATTCATACTTAATGTGTTGCGTTTGAAAACCCAGAAGGGAAAGTCAGAAACTGGCCAATCAGAAAGCAGCTTTTCATTTGTGATAATACATGACTGATGAAGCATGCTTGTGGATGAATTCACTAGTAGCTTTATGTGCAGCAATCCATAAAAACGCTACGTAAGCCTCTTAAGAGCGACTTAGATCCCAGATAAATGCCTCAAAACCTCTGTATGATGTACCTACTGTATGATGATGTGGACACAGTATCACAAATATCCTTAAATTGTAGAAACAAACACAAAAAGATGCTGAACGAAGATCTTTTTAGTAATCAGGAATTAGTATATTACAGCTATACAATAGAAAACACAAAGCACAAGTCTGAAACGTCATACAAATACAGCTTAAATAAAATAAATATAATTTCAGTAAATAATTTTAAATAAAGCCTTGTTTATCTGGAATCTAAGTCACTTACAATGTTGGTACTATATGTAAATGAATGTGTACTCTTTCTCCATGCATTACCTGCATCCAAATCTCCCATTTTATTGGTCACCATCCTAAGGACTTTTGACAGCTTTTTTTGAAAACTACAGATTGTACTTCCACACTTTTGTATCCCCACTGACAGACAGTTGGATCAAACCCAGAGCAGTTTCCCTACCTTTTTGGCAAAAGCGAATGCCACAGCCCTTTTTCTCTAGTCATGTAAGCACCGATTTAAATACAAATTGCATGTTTGCTGCAAGGTTTTATTAAAAGCCAATCTTGCCAGCAGTGAATCACCCCTTTAAGAGTACGAACAACCAAGTGTAATCTAAAACAAAGCTCTTCCAGTAGTGTGTCTGGAGTGAAAGTGTGATTCTGAGGCAAAACAGCTCCTGCAGTGTAATCGATCTCTCTGATAAATGACCTCTGGTATTTAAGGCTGATTGGGTGTAACCTGACTGAAAAGAAAATTCAGAAGCTGTTTCCTCTTTCTAAGGATGTTATCGTCCTAACAATCTTGCCAGCAGTGAATCACCCTCTTTAAGAGTACGAACAACCAAGTGTAATCTAAAACAAAGCTCTTCCAGTAGTGTGTCTGGAGTGAAAGTGTGATTCTGAGGGCAAAACAGCTCCTGCAGTGTAATCGATCTCTCTGATAAATGACCTCTGGTATTTAAGGCTGCTTTAAGAGTACGAACAACCAAGTGTAATCTAAAACAAAGCTCTTCCAGTAGTGTGTCTGGAGTGAAAGTGTGATTCTGAGGCAAAACAGCTCCTGCAGTGTAATCGATCTCTCTGATAAATGACCTCTGGTATTTAAGGCTGATTGGGTGTAACCTGACTGAAAAGAAAATTCAGAAGCTGTTTCCTCTTTCTAAGGATGTTATCGTCCTAATCTTGCAATCTTCGGTGACATGATGCAGCAGGCAGGTTGTTTGTGTATCAGATTGCATGTCTGTCAGAGTTTGGGTGTTTAGACCTGTAGGGTTCATGCTTACCTGTTTCTCCTCCATGTTTGTTTGTGATGAGGTGGGGATGGTGTCTCCCAGCAGGAAGCCCAACCGTGTCATGAGCTCCTGGACAGCCGGGGAGGAGCCAGACTCAGCCGGCGAGAGCAGCTCTGCACACACACATACACACACAAACGCAAAGGTTAGGGGAGGATGCACACAAAAAGCCCACACCCAAAAGCAACATGTCTACAGGTACCCAAACACACAAAGGATACATTCACATTGACAATACACCTACTTGACCACATTTACATTCAAACCCTACATTCAGTCTAATTACATATTCAGCGCTACTCCTCCAGGATGTATGGCAAATCTGTCCCAACTCACCAAGATCCAAAGGACTGGTGTGGCACTTCCTGTGCTCTCCTTTCCTCTCCACTCGCTGCCTTTCACAGTCTCCTCTGCTCTCTTGCAATCTCCGTCCCTCCCTCTCACATCTCTCTCTCCATCTCAATCCCTCCCTCTCTCCCCCTCCTCTCTGTTGCCCTGTATCTCTCGCTCTGTAGTACAACACACGGTCTTTACAGTGCTCTGCACAGCTTCAGACAGCCTAGGTTTGAGATGCGGTTATTATGACAACCAAGTTTCCATCCATTCAGAGGCTGTGTGTGAGACAGAGAGGACAGGGTGTGAATGTGAATGAGCAGAGATCGTGCTCGCTGCAATCACTGGGCTAGTACAACTGACTAGACACACACACGCGCGCACGTTCATTCATTCTCTTCCCTTCTTATGTGCACCGACACCATCCCACAATTCTGAATTGCCAGACATAAAAAGAAACATTCATTCTCCTTTAATTTAATGTTAGATACTGACATTTTAGGGATTTAATTCAGTGACGTTCATAGAGTTGTGTTGAAAATCGGTTCGATTTGGAAGAGAGACCAATTGGCTAAACATTAAATACATCAACTCAAAATCACTTGTTAAATAAATATTTCTGATTTTGCTGCACATGATTTATCAGTGCATGTTATTCTAGTGAATAGAAAAAAAAATGTTTTGCTAATGTAACCAAGGCCATGTAGGTGGGGGAAAATATTAACCAATAATATTATAGACTGACAGACTTCCAGCAGAATATTGTTTCACTCAGAAATATTTTTGTAAGGTTTACTGAATCAACTGTTAAAAAAATAAAATAAAAATATATTATATATATATATATTATATATACACCAACACACACATACACACACTCATGGCAAAGCTGAATTTTCAGCAGTCATTACTCCAGACTTCAGTGTGACATGATCCTTCAGAAATCATTCTAATTTGCTGATATGGAGCTAAAGAAACATTTCTTATTATTATCAATATTGAAATATGCCCACTAAAGTTTCATCACTGATACCACATTACTTTGCACTTGCAAGTAACCACCCAGCAACTGTAAAGAACCCACTTTTAAGTCTCAGTCATATGCTGATCTCATTCAATGCCAGCCATTGTAATTTTCATGGTATTGTGTTTGTAAACATGTAGGGGTATATGCAGTCAGTGTATTTGTTGATGTTTTCATTTTTGTGTCAAACGTTCACATTCGTGTAGTGGTGCCTTCTCATTTTGGCAGGCCAGAAGTCTAGAAGACTAGTAACACTTGTGTGTGCGTGTGTGTGTGAAAATCACGTCAGAACTGTTGCCACATTCCCTCCTGATTGTTTGAGTGAGCTACGTAAATCTAAACTCTAAATGTGTGATGTACGGCAATGTATTGGAATAAACCTGTATAATGACTTTGATGTCATGAATACAAGCAACACCACCATTTATAGCATCAGATGTTACTCATAAATGAAAAATCGTACCGTTTATATTTTTTATTTTATCCTCTATACACGAACACATTTGAACTATTAATAGTGTATTAAAATAAAATAAATTAATAAATATTTTAAAAAGCAGCGATGAATAAGATGAAAATTTACCTCATAATCAGAACAAAACATACAAATAGTGGAATCATGATGATTCAAGTAACAGACAAGGAAAGAGTAGCAATACAATGGAGATGGTGTCAGTGATTCTACACATATAATTTATCTATCTATCTATCTATCTTGGTATTGGGATTTGGTTTATGTTCATGTTTTCATGTCTTTTATTTTGTATTTTCTTGTCTTGGTTCCTGCCTTGTCATGTACTTCCCTGACCCTGTCATGTGACCATGCTCACGCCATGCCTGCCAAGCCAGAGCCTGCTCACTTCATGCCTACCAAGCCAGTGCCCGTTCACGTCATGCCTACCAAGCCAGAGCCTGCTCACTTCATGCCTACCAAGCCAGAGCCTGCTCCCGTCATGCCTACCAAGCCAGAGCCTGCTCCCGTCATGCCTACCAAGCCAGAGCCTGCTCCCGTCATGCCTACCAAGCCAGAGCCTGCTCCCGTCATGCCTACCAAGCCAGAGCCTGCTCCCGTCATGCCTACCAAGCCAGAGCCTGCTCCCGTCATGCCTACCAAGCCAGAGCCTGCTCCCGTCATGCCTACCAAGCCAGAGCCTGCTCACTTCATGCCTACCAAGCCAGAGCCTGCTCAC